ACATCTGAGGGGGAGCAGTGCTCTGCTCAAAACAAAAACAAAACCAAAAACAAACCAAAAAGAAAACACAAAAACACGCCCGAAAGATGATTCTGATAGGCTGCCTTGGGGGTCATGCATCCTCGGGTGAGAATCACTGGGTGGAAGGGGCAGAGTGGAGAGCTGCGCAGAGAGGAGAAGCATGAGCACATGAGCCGCTGAGTCGGTGTAGATGGAGCCATCAGAGTCAAGACTGTCAGACATGGGGGCAGAGGAGCCAGGACCAGGTAGACAGCGAGCAAATGGATGTAGTCGACAAGGCACCTGGAATGACGTGAGGTGGGTTGTGAATCACCGACAGCGGGTAGGCAGTGGAGGGCCAAGGTGATGGTCCCGGAACTGAGGATGCACGACACAGAAGCCTGAGAGAGACGGGAGTAGTGACCTTAAGGAAGGTGGGTTGTGAGGATATGGGCAAAGAGCACTGGGTGAGAGGTCCACAGCAAGGGCGTGGGCAAATGGCAGGTGAGCCAGCACCAAGGAAAACATCTGGGAGAGATGGAGGAAGGAGAGGTGGAGGGACAAGAGCTGAATCCAGGTTACTGTGCAGGTGGAGACTGAGTGTGAGGGTGTCAAGCTGGAGTTCACAGGTCTGAGGGAAGAGAGAGGGCAGAAAGCAAAAGTGCTGTGGTGAAAGGAATGAGGTAGAAGAATCGGAGGAGGAGGCTCCCTGAGAGCAGTGTCTCAAGAATGTGCAACTAGGGGTCTAAATGGAAACATGAAAGGTTAAAGGGAGTGACATTCGCAGAGGCCCAGGAGGAAAGCATATGCTGGGTCCACAGTGACATGAGTGGTTGGTGGGTGGAGTGTGCGGATTCAGTACAGTATATGTGAGGCATTGATGAATGAATTGGGGTGAGCTGAGGGATGGGGATTAAGAAGGGAGCACACAGCAGAGAAGACTACTGAGTCCAGCTGGAAGAGTCACAGATGGTCGCTGAAAGAATGTTGCACGGCTCGGGTAGGACAGTTCCTTTCCTGTGTATGCAGTGCAGAGGCGAAGCAGGAGAGACGATGGAACCAGACCCAGGAGGTAGGAGGTCAGGTGAACAGTGTCCACGAAGTGGGCGAGTACGGTAGAGGAGAGGTGGTCCAACGGGCCAGAAGAGTGAGAAAGGGCAGGCGATGGCACCTGATAGCTAGGGCAGGAGAGGGTTGCAGAGAGGATCAGGGTCACACCGGGCCAAGAGGGATAGCAAAGAGTCTGAAGGAGAGAATGGATGTGGAGGATCTAAGAACTTTGCCCCCTTGATGGGACCAAAAGAGTGAGGAAGAGCATGCAGGAGGAAAATCATATCGTGGTGTAGGTAATCAAGGAACGCAGGAAAGCTGGGAGGAGAACAGAGGATGATGAGGTGCTAGAAATAGTGGCCCATGGAAAATGTTGGGGAGAATCCTGTTAGTCTGGGGCATTGTGAGACATGAAGATCAGAGAGAAGCGTAGAGAAGTCATAACAATCACCAAAATGGTGCAGCCAAAAAGGTAGGGGTCTTAGTGGTGAATGGGAATGGCAGATGGATTCAGTACAGCACGTCAGGGATGAATATGGCAATGAGGGAGCATCAGAGCAGGGCATGAAGAGAGGAGATGTCCAGGAAAAGACACTGAATCCTTCTCATGAATGATAGGTGGTAGAGGAGTGGAAGGGAAGAGAAACGGAAAGGCAGCACAGAAGAAGGGAGAAAAATTCATGGATGTGGGAGGGACTTTGGGTGGGTAAAGGGGGCACCATGGACAAGGGGAAGGCAGCCTAAAGTGCTCTGTATTTTGGGATATCAGCAGATTTCAGGGGCAAGCAGATTTGCATGTGAGGCATTGAGGCCAGACGGTAGAGGCAGAGCAGAGCCAAGACCTCATAGCCAAGGCGTTTGTAGACCTGGAACCCTCGTGAACAAGTGTGGAAAGGGGCCGCAATAACTGTAATGAAACAGACAAGGAGGCAGTGTTGCACGTTAATAGATGTACCATGTATAGAAACGAGTGGCAGGTAACTTTAGGGACTTTGGGATGGACTAATGAGGATGGAGTCCTTTGTGAGTAGCAAGTATACTTAGAAGGGCGAGGAGCAAGCAGCAGTGAAGGCGGAGGTGACATTTCGTGATGATCACCAAATCCCTACTTCTGCTATTACGAGGAGGCTGTAAAGGGTAGAGGTCTAGCATGCTGTGGAGTGACTCCAGACAGGGAAGTACGGTAGGAGGGGGACCTTCAAACCAGTGCGGTGTCATAGGGTTAGTCCTAGAAGATAACATGGGCAGCAAAGGGGCACAGAGGAAGAGAGCAAGGGGTGGGACAGTGAGGGCTTGATGGGTGGGGGGCTCTTTTGGGGGCTTGATTCAACTATAACAGAGAGGGCAAGGCAGAATGGGATGGAGAGCGAGAGGAGGGTCTTAAAATCTGCATGTGAGTGTTGTGAGGGGAACGTGGCCAAGAGGGCCAAGAGGGGATCTAGACCGGGTCCGCTGGGCGGCGGGGAGCACAGGGCTGCAAGGAAGTTAGATGGAAGCAGTGGTGGCAAAGGAAGGAAGCAGAGCAGTAAGTGGTGGGACTGTGTAAAGTCCACTTAGACAGTGGCTGAAATAAAGGGAAGAGAGAAGAGGAAGGAGAGTGAGACAGGGCAAGGCTAGGGAAAAGGGAGCCTCAGGGGAAGGCGGTGGTGGGAGCCAGTGGCAGGACGTGACGAGAGACAGCAGATGGTTCCTGGAGCGAACGTGGTTCAGTGAGGGGATGGAAAGAGTGTGAGCTCTGAGAGCAGTTCACAGGAGGGAGCACAGCCCTAAGGAGAAGGGATGACTGAATACAACTAAATGACAGGCATTAGGGAGCTCTGACATGAGATGCATGGGCCCTGGAAAAGAGGCTAGGTGCTCTCACTTGACCAACTAAGGAAAGGGAAGCAATGCGTCACGTGAGGAGAGGTCACGGGAAGAAACGTCAACATGAGATGTTAATGCAGCATGACGGGAGGGTCCCCTCCCGTGAAGGGAGGTGAAGAGAGTGAAGTGAAGGTGAAGAAAGCCACCCAGGAGAGGATGGGGGGTGGATTGTGGTGGGAGGGAGACAGGCTGGACGCCAGCAGGAGGAGCAGAAATAAGAGGGGGTTGGCAGAGTGGGCATCCAGGAAGATCTCACAGGTGCCAACCAGATGGAGGTTAGGACCATCAGAGTCCAGTCAACAGGAGCAGAGGCATGGGGAAGGAGGAGCGAGGAACAGATAAGGAGTGGCTAGCAGTGGGCAGGGAACAGTGGCTGCTCCTGAGGCCTTGAATGTAGTGGCAAGGGTAGAACTTTTCGACCAGGCTCTTTACTACGGATCCGGTGGGGATGGGGTGGGAGTTGGGGATGGGGTAGAGGCCAGGACGGGGTGGGGAGGGGGACTGGGAGGGAGGCTGGACTTCCGGTATGGGAGGCTGGGAGAGGGTGGGAACAGGTATGGGTTGGGTTAGACAGGGTTGGACGGAGGGCAGGTTGGGTTCAATGGGCATTGGGATGGGCATGGGGAGACGTGAGCCAAGCTCCAGGCATGAAAACACTATCTTCTTTAACTGAGCTTGTGGAATGATTACACGTGCAGGGTTGGGTGGGGAAGACGAGTGAATGCCCCCTGAAAGGACAAAGGAGAGTAGCTGCAGGAAAGGTGGAAGGGAAAGGTCTGGTGGGCAGGAAATAAGGAGGGACCTCAGGACCACGGCGGGGGCAGGGGGCTCTGCAGGTGGACAGTGTCATGGGTCTCAACTGAGGAGGGGTGACCTAGGCAAAGGGACAATGGCAAGGGCCAAGAAAGACCCGATTTGGACCAAAGGTATGGTCACAATGTCTGAGAGTCATTGAAGGGTGGGGGCTGGTGGGGTGTTGTGGGGAGGGCGTGTGACAAGAACAGTGCTCTAATATAGTCTGGGGTCTGGGGCATGTCGGGTGTCAGTGAGTGTTCAAGGAAGGGAATGCGGTGGTTCCAAGAGGACAGTGCCGGGCTGATGTCGGAGTGGGGCTAATACTGGGGTTTTTGAGGAACAAGTGTCAGTGGCAACCGATGGAAGGTGAGAGGTGCCCAAGGGATGAGTGCAGCCCAGGGAGACAGGCTGGGCTTCCACAGCAGTGATTCTTCTCGGGGGTGGGAGGGTGGATTTCACCCGAGGGCGGGCTGTGGGCATGGACCCTAAGGGAGGCCTATCAAAACATCTGAGGGGGAGCAGTGCTCTGCTCAAAACAAAAACAAAACCAAAAACAAACCAAAAAGAAAACACAAAAACACGCCCGAAAGATGATGCTGATAGGCTGCCTTGGGGGTCATGCATCCTCGGGTGAGAATCACTGGGTGGAACGGGCAGAGTGGAGAGCTGGGCAGAGAGGAGAAGCATGAGCGCATGAGCCCCTGAGTCGGGGTAGATGGAGCCATCAGAGTCAAGACTGTCAGACATGGGGGCAGAGGAGCCAGGACCAGGCAGACAGCGAGCAAATGGATGTAGCCGACAAGGCACCTGGAATGACACGGGGTGGGATGGGAATCACCGACAGTGGCTAGGCAGTGGAAGGCCAAGGTGATGGTCCCAGAATTGAGGATGCATGAGATATAAGGTGAAAGAGGTGGGATGGGTGACCAAAAGGAAGTTGGGTTGTGACGATGTGAGCAGAGAGCACCGTATGGGATGTCCACAGGAAAGGAAGGAACTGATGGAAGGTGAGACCACGCTGAAGGAGAACATCTGGGAGACAGATGACTGCGAGGGAGGGAGGAAGGAGAGAAGGAGGAACAAGGGCAGAACCCAGAGCACTGTGCAGGTGGAGACTGAGTGCGATGGTGTTGGGTTGGAGTTCACAGGCATGAGGGCGGAGGGAGGGCAAAAGGCAAAAGCACTGTGGTGAAAGGAAAACGATAGGCAATTGGGAGGAAGACGCTCCCCAAGAGCTGTCAGAAGAGTGTTCAACAAGGGGTCTGAATCGAACATGAATGGCTACAGGGAGTGACATCTGCGGTGGTCTAGGAGGAAAGCATCGCCTAGGTCCACAGCGATGTGAGTATGGGCTGGTGGTTGGAGTGTGCGGATTCATTACAACGTGTGAGAGGCAAAGACGACTGAATTGAATTGAGCGGTGGGTGGTGCATTAAGAAGGGAGCAGTCAGCAGAGAAAACTACTGAGTCTAGCTGGAAGAGTCACATGGTAGCTGAAAGAATTTCACACAGCTCAGGTAGGACCCTTCCTTTCCTATGTATGCTGTGGAGAAGCGAACAAGGAGAGATGATGGAACCAGACACAGGAGGCAGTAGGTCAGGTGTGCAGTGTCCAAAGGTTGGAAAGTACAGTAGAGGATAGGTGGTCCAATAAGGTAGAAGAGTGAGAAAGGGCAGGTGATGGCTCCTGACAGCTAGGGCAGGAGTGGCTTGTTGAGAGATCAGAGATGGCAGTGGGCCAAGAGGGATGCCAAAAAGTCCCAAGGAGGGTGTGGATATGAAGAATCTGAGAACTTTGTCCCCATGAATGGACCAGAGTCATTAGGAAACCCATGAATGAGGAAGAGCCGGGCAGGGTAGGTAATCAAGGATTATGGGGGAGCTGTGAGGTGAACAGAGGTTGTTGAGGCAATAGAAGTAGTGGACTTTGAAAACACTGGTGACAACTCTGTCAGTACATGGCATGGTGAGACAATGAAAGGTCAGAGAGAAGCCCAGAGAAACAATGACCTTCTCCAAAATGGCGAACCCAAAGGTAGGGGGCTTAGGAGTGAATCCAGACAGTAGATGGATTCACCATGGTATGGGATGGTGAGGATGAAGTAGAGCATTTCTTGAGGACAAGAGTTGGGAGACAAGGTAGAGAATGGACCCAGTAAGGTTCAGTCACCACATAGCATGGATAGACCACATAGCATGGATAGTGAGAGACAGTGGATTTTCGAGGAGCCATGAGTAGTCGACTGGCTGAACAAGATGGGTCAGGGAAGTCGATGGACAAGAAAGGTAGAGTTGACAGGGAAGAGGGGAGAGAACCTCCTGAATGAGACGGGTTTAAGTCGGTAAGGGGACACCACAAAAAAGGGGAAGGCAGCATGAAGAGCTCCCGATGTGGGGACGTTGGCAGATCCCAGGGGGCAAGAGGGCAGACAGGTGCAGTATTGGGGCCAGACAGCAGAAGCAGACCAGATGCAAGATGCCACAGTGCAGGTGTTTGAAGTCCTGGGCCCACAGGAGCAAGTGGGGAGTGGGGGCCACGATGACGGTGGTGAAACAGAGGAAAGAGGGCAGCGTGGCACATTAAGATGCACCCTGTACAGAAACCACTGGCAGGTGACTTCAGGGACGTTAGGATGGACTGAGGTGGACGGAGTCCGGAGTGGGGGTGGCAAATACGCTTAGAAATGGCAACGAGCGAGCAGGAACCAAAGCAGAGGTGACGATTTCACGATGATCACCGAAACCCCACTTCTGCTATTACAAGGAGTCTGTAAAGGGTAGAGGTCTAGCATGCTGTGGAGTGACTCCAGACAGGGAAGTACGGTAGGAGGGGGACCTTCAAACCAGTGCGGTGTCATAGGTCTAGTCTGAGAGAAGATAACGTGGGCAGCAAGGGGCACCGAGGGGGAGAGCAAGGGGTGGGTCAGTGAGGGCTTGACAGGCAGGGGGTTCCTGTTCGGGAGCCTTGATCCAAAGGATGAGAGAGACGGCAAGGCGGAACAGGATGGAGAGCGAGAGGAGGGTCTTAAAATCTGCATGTGGGTGTGGCGAGGGGAACGTGGCCAGGAGGGCAAAGGGGGGATGTGGACCTTGTCCGCTGGGCAAGGGCCATCGGCAGGGGTGCAGCACGGGGCCCCATGGAGGAGAGGTGGAAGCAGTGGAGGTGAAGGAAGGAAGCAGAGCAGTAAGTGGTGGCACTGTGTAAAGTCCACTTAGACAGTGGCTGGAGTAAAGGCAAGAGAGAAGAGGAAGGAGAGCGAGACAGGGCAAGGCTAGGGAAAAGGGAGCCTCGGGAAGGCGGTGGTGGGGGAAGGCGGTGGTGGGAGCCAGTGGCAGGACGTGACGAGAGACAGCAGATGGTTCCTGGAGCGAACGTGGTTCAGTGAGGGGATGGAAAGAGTGTGAGCTCTGAGAGCAGTTCACAGGAGGGAGCACAGCCCTAAGGAGAAGGGATGACTGAATACAACTACATGACAGGCATCAGGGAGCTCTGACATGAGATGCATGGGCCCTGGAAAAGAGGCTGGGCGCTCTCGCTGGGCCAGCTGGGGAAAGGGAAGCAATGCGTCACGTGAGGAGAGGTCGCGGGAAGAAACGTCAACATGAGACGTTAATGCAGCGTGACAGGAGGGTCCCCTCACCGAGTCAGACAAGGTGAAGAGAGCCAGCCAGGGCAGGATGGAGGGTGGAGGGTGGTGGAAGGGAGACAGGCTGGACACCAACAGAAGCAGCAAAAATAAGAGGGAGGTGGCAGAGTAGGCATGCAGGCAGACCTCAGAGGTCCCAACCGGAGGCCAGTTAGCAGCGTCAGGGCCAGTCGACAGGAGTGAAGGGAACATATGCCAAAGACCTCAGAGGTCCCAACCGGAGGCCAGTTAGCAGCGTCAGGGCCAGTCGACAGGAGCAGAGGGATGGGGAAAAGGAGGCGTGGATAAGGGGTGGCTAGCAGTGGGCCGGGAACAGCGGCTGCTCCTGCGGCCTTGAATGTAGTGGCAAGGGCATGAGCAGGTGGTCTGCGGGATGTCAGCAGTGGGCCGGGAACAGCGGCTGCTCCTGCGGCCTTGAATGTAGTGGCAAGGGTAGAACTTTTCGGCCAGGCTCTTTACTACGGATCCGGCGGGGATGGGGTGGGAGTTGGGTTCGGGCTTCGGGTTGGGGTGTGTGTGGAGTTGACAGGGTTGGCCAGGAGGGAAGGGTTGGGATTGAGAGGCATTGGGGTAAGTTAGGAGGGACATGAGCTGAGTTCTAGGTACTAAGAAAACCATCTTTTTAAACTGAGATTGTAGACTAATTACACAGCGAGAGGTGGTTGGCAAAGAGCATCCTCCCCAGAAGATCAATCCTCCCCACAGAGGACAAAGGAGAGTAGCTGCAGGAAAGGTGGAAGGGAAGGGTCTGATTGGCAGGAAACAAGGAAGGACCTCAGGACCACGAGTGGGGCTCTGCAGGTGGACAGTGTCATGGGTCTGAACCCAGTAGGGGTAACCAAGGGAAAGAGACTATGGCAAGGGTAAAGAAAGACCAGATTTGGACCAAAGATATTGTCACAATGTCAGAGTCATGAAGGTTGGGGGCTGGATGGGTGCTGTGTGGAAGGTGAGTGGGGTTTGGGGCATGTTGGCTGTCAGTGGGTGTTCATGGAGTGGAATGCGGTGGTTCCAAGAGGACAGTGCCAGACTGATGTCAGAGTGGGGCCAATGCTGGGGTCTTTGAGGAACAAGTGTGAGTGGTATCCAGTGGAAGGCGAGAGGCGCCCAAAGGGAGAGTGCAGTCCAGGGAGGCAGGCTGGGCTTCCACAGCAGCGATTCTTCTTGGGGGTGGGAGGGTGGATTTCACCCGAGGGGGCACTGTGGGCATGGACCCCAAGGGAGGCCTATCCAAACCTCTGAGGGGGAGCAGTGCTCTGCTCAAAACAAAACCAAAAACAAACCAGAAATAAAACACAAACACACACCCAAAAGATGATGCTGATAGGTTGCCTTGGGGGTCATCCATCCTCGGGTGAGAATCACTGGGTGGAAGGGGCTGAGTGGAGAGCTGGGCAGAGAGGAGAAGCATGAGCACGTGAGCCCCTGAGTCGGGGTAGATGGAGCCATCAGAGTCAAGACTGTCGGACATGGGAGAAGAGGAGCCAGGACTAGGCCTACAGTGAGCCAATGAATGTAGCCGAAAATGCACCTGGATGATGGGGGGTGGGTAGGGAATCACCAACAGTGGGTAGGCATTGGAGGGCCAAGGTGATGGTCCCGGAACTGAGGATGCACGTATATAAGGCTGAGAGAGATGGCAGTGGTGACCGAAAGGTAGTTGGGTTGTGAGAATGTGAACAGATTGCAGTGGATCGGATCCATACAGAAGGAGGAGGCTGATGGCAGGGGAGACAACACTGAACAAGATCATCTGGGGGAGAGATGCCTACCACGGAAGGAGGAGGAGAGAAGGAGGGACCCCAGCAGAAAGAACCTAGGGCACTGTGCCGCTGGGGACTGAGTCATTGGTGTCAGGTTGGCATTCACAGGTATGAAGGGGAGAGTGAGGGCAGAAAGCAAAAGTGATGTGGTAAAGGGAAAGAGTAGAAGAATCAGAAGAAGATGCTCCTGAGAGCTGTTTCAAAGGAGTGTGCATCCAGAAGTCTGAATGGAAAGATGAAAGGTTACAGGGAATGACATTCGCAGATGCCCAGCAGGAAAGCATCCCCTAGGTCCACAGTGACATGAGCACAGTTGGTGGGTGGAGCTTTCAGATTCAGTACAGTATGTGTGAGGCAAAGACGACCGAATTGGGGTGAGCTGAGGGTGGGAGATTAAGAAGGGAGCACATAGCAGAGAAGACCACTGAGTCCAGCTGGAAGCGTCACAGACTGTAGCTGAAAGAATGTCCCATGGCTCAGGTAGGACAGTTCCTTTGCTGTGTATGCAGTGGAGAAGTGACGCAGGAGAGGCAATGCAACCAGACCCAGGAGGTAGGAGGTTAAGTGAGCAGTGTACAAGAAGTGGGCGAGTACCGTAGAGAAGTGGTCCAGTGGGCCAGAAGGGTGAGAAAGCGCAGGCAATGGCACCTGACAGCTAGGGCAGGAGAGGCTCGTTGATAGGCTCAGAAATGCGCTGGGCCAAGACGGATAGCAAAGAGTCTGAAGGAGAGAGTGGATGTGGAGAATCTAAGAACTTTGGCCCATGAGTGGACCGGTGGCTTGAGGAAGAGCACGCAGGAGGAAAAGCACAGTGTGGCGTAGGAAATCGATACATGCAGAAGAGGTGGGAGGAGTACAGAGGACGATGATGTGGTAGAAGTAGTGTCCCATGGAAAACGCTGGGGACAACCCTCTCAGCGTGGGGCATGGTGAGACGTGAAAGGTCAGAGAGAAGCCCAGACAAGTAATGACTGTCTCCAAAATGGTGGAACCAAAAAGTCTCCAAAATTTATAACCAAAATGTCGTTGTGAATTGGGACAGCAGATGAATTCAGCAGAGCACGTTGGGGACAAAGAAGATGGCATCAGGGGTAGCATGAGGGCAGATCATGAAGGGAGCTAAGGTGAAAGGAAAGACAGTGAATCCATTCCAGGACTGGAGGGTGGCGGGGGAAGTAGATGGTAGCCAAAGATGAAGCAGAGGGAGTCGATGATGAGTGTGAGAGACAAGGCCAAGGAATAATTAAGCAAGTGTCATTCTCCACCCAGCGTGGATAGAGGGAGACAGTGGTGTTTTGAGGAACCATATGAAGGCAGACTGTGGGATGTAAGGTGGGTCAGGGGAGTCGATGGGAACAGACAGGGACAGGCAGCATGGAAGAGGGTGAGGGAATCATGAACTCAGAGTCAGTAAAGGAGGCATCATGGAAAAAGAGACAGCAGCCTGAAGAGCTCCCAGTGTGGGGACGTTGGCAGATCTCAGGGGGCAAGAAGAGTGGCATGTGCAGGACTGAGGCCAGATGACCAGAGCAGAGCAGAGCTGAGATCTCAGAGTTAGGCATTTGAAGACTTGGGGCCCTCAGGATCAAGTGGGGAAAGGGGCCACAATGACTGTAGTGAAACAGAGGAAAGGGGGCAGCATTGCACATTAAGATGCATTGTGCATTGAAACCACTGTCAGGTAACCTCAGGGACTTTGGGATGGACTGATGTGGATGGATTCCAGTGTGTGGATGGCAGATATGCCTAGCAGTGGCTGAGGAGCGAATCAAGGTGACAGGTGACATTTTGCAATGATCACAAATTCATGCTTCTGCTAATTCAGTGGGGCCAGAAAGGTTGGAAGTTTAGCATGTTGTGGAGCAACTCCAGACAGAGAAGTAGGGTAGAAGGGGGACCATCAAACCAGTATGGTGTCACATGTCTAGTCCAAGAGGATAATGTGGGCAGCAAAGTGGCACACAGGGCGAGAGCAAGGGATGGGATGGTGAGAGCTTGGGCGTGGGGAGCTCTTGTTCAGGAGGCTTGATCCATGGAGGACAGAGAGGGCAAGGCAGACTGGGATGGAGAGCAAGAGGAGGGTCTTAAAATCTCCACATGGGTGTCGTCAGGGGGACATGGTCAAGAGGGAAAGAGGGCAAAGAGGAGATCCAGACCTTGTCCACTGGCGGGGGGAGAGCAAGGGCGATGGACAGGTGTGCAACATAGGGCCCCATGGAGGAGAGATGGAAGCAGTGGAGGTGAAGGAAAGAAGTAGAGGATTAAGTGGTGGAAAGTCTACTGGCTACTGTGTAAAGTCCAGTAGACAATGGCTTGATTAAAAGGAAGAGAAAAGAGGAAGGAAGGTGAGATAGCAAGGCTAGGGAATAGGGAGTCTCAAGGGAAGGCAGTGATGGAAGCCAGTGGAAGGACGTGATGAGAGACAGCAGATGGTTTCTGGAGCAAACGTGGTCCAGTGAGGGGATGGAAGGAGGGGATGGAAGGAGTATGAGCAGGAAGAGCAGTACATAGGAGAGAGCACACCCCTAAGGAGAAGAGAGGACTGAATATAACTTCATGACGGACATTAGGGAGCTCTGAGATGAGACGCATGGGCCCTAGAGAAGAGGCTGGGTGCTCTCTCTGGGCTAAGGAGAGACAGAGAAGAAAGTGGTCACATGAGGAAACCTCATGGGCAGGAATGTCAAAATGAAGCCTTGATGCAGTGTGACACGAGTGTGAGGCTCTGATGCAGTGTGAGACAGAAAAGGTGATGGGAGGCACCCACTGGAAGATGGAGGGTGGAGTGTGGTGGAAAGGAGACAGGCTGGACACCAACAAGGGGAGCAAGGAATAGAGGGAGGTGGCAGGGTGGGCATCCAGACAGATCTCAGAGGTGCTAACCAGAAGGAAGTTGAGAGCATTGGAGCCAGTCAGCAGGAGCAGAGGGATGGGGAAGGAGGAGTGGCTAGCAAGGGCAGGGAGCAGTGGCTGCTCCTGTAGCCTTGAATGTAGTGGCAAGGGTAGAACTTTTTGGCTAGGCTTTCTACTACGGATCCGGCAGGGATGGGAGTCGGGGACGGGGTGGGGACGGGGAGCGGGAGGGCGGCAGGGATGATGGGGTGGGAGGTGGGGATGGGGTGGGAGGCGGGGATGGGGTAGGGGATGGGGACTGGGTGGGGGACGGGGTGGAAGCTGGGGACAGCATAGGGGATGGGGACCAGGTGGGAGGCAGGGATGACAGGATGGGAGGTGGGGACGGGGTGGGAGCTGGGGGATGGGGGCAGGGTGGGAAATGGGACGGGGTGCTAGTCAGGTTTTACAGGGTTGGATGGGATGGCAGGGTTGGGATGGATGGATGTTGGGGTGAAGTGGGGGGACATGAGCCAAGCTCCAGGCATTGAGAAAACCATCTTCTTTAACTGAGCTTGTGGACTAATTACACATCCAGGGTTGGGGGTGGGGAAGACCAGTGAATCCTCCCTCGAGAGGACAAAAAAGGAGCTGCAGGAAGGTGGAAGGGAGAGGTCTGGTTGGCAGGAAACAAGGAGGGACCTGAGGACCACAGGGCAGGGGCTCTGTAGTGGGATGATGTCATGGGTCTGAACTGAAGAGGGGTAACCTAAGGAAAGGGACCATGGCAAGGGCCAAGAAAGACCAGATTTGGACCAAAGGGCTTGACAGTCATTAAGGGTGGGGGCTAGAGTGGTGTTGTGGAGGGGCGTGACAAGAACAGTGCTCTAATGTAGACTGGGGTTTGGGGCATGTTGGGTGTCAGTGAGTAATTATGGAAGGGAATGCAGTGGTTCTAAGAGGACAGTGCTGGGCTGATGTCAGAGTGGGGCCAATGCTGGGGTCTTGGAGAAACAAGTGTCAGTGGCAACATGGTGAAAGGCGAGAGGCGCCCAGGGGAGAGTGCAGCCCAGGGAGGCAGGCTGGACTTCCACAGCAGTGATTCTTCTTGGGGGTTGGGGGGTGGATTTCACCTGAGGGCGGGCTGCGGGCATGGACCCCAAGGGAGGCCTATCAAAACATCTGAGGGGGAGCAGTGCTCTGCTCAAAACAAAAACAAAACCAAAAACAAACCAAAAAGAAAACACAAAAACACGCCCGAAAGATGATGCTGATAGGCTGCCTTGGGGGTCATGCATCCTCGGGTGAGAATCACTGGGTGGAAGGGGCAGAGTGGAGAGCTGGGCAGAGACGAGAAGCATGAGCACATGAGCCCCTGAGTCGGTGTAGATGGAGCCATCAGAGTCAAGACTGTCAGACATGGGGGAAGAGGAGCCAGGACCAGGCAGACAGTGAGCAAATGGATGTAGCCGACAAGGCACCTGGAATGACGCGGGGTGGGTTGGGAATCACCGACAGCGGGTAGGCAGTGGAGGGCCAAGGTGATGGTCCCGGAACTGAGGATGCACGACACAGAAGGCTGAGAGAGATGGCAGTGGTGACCGAAAGGAAGTTGGGTTGTCAGGAGGTGAAGAGAGAGCAGTGGACAGGATGTCCATGCCGAAGGAAGGGGCAGACGGTAAGGCAGACCACGCTGAAGGAGAACATCTGGGAGAGAGGCGACTGCGAGGGAGGCAGGAAGGAGAGAAGGAAGGATGACGGCAGAACCCAGGGCACTGTGCAGGTGGAGACTGAGTGCTACTGTGTCAGGCCTGGGGTTCACAGGTGTGAGGGCAGAAGACAGACGTACTGTTGTGAAAGGAAAAAATAGGAGAATCAGAGAAGAGGCTCCCGAGAGCTGTGTCCGAAGCGTGTGCAACAAGGGGTCTGAATGGAAACATGAAAGGTTAAAAGGAGTCACATTCGCAGAGGCCCAGGAGGAAAGCATAGCCTAGGTCCACAGTGACATGAGCATGGTTGGTGGGTGGAGTGTGTGGGTTAACTACAGTATGTATGAGGCAAAGACAACTGAATTGGAGTGAGCGGTGAGTGGGGGATTAAGAAGGGAGCACACAGCAGAGAAGACTACTGAGTCCAGCTGGAAGAGTCACAGATGGTAGCTGAAAGAATGTTGCATGGCTCAGGTAGGACAGTTCCTTTTCTGTCTATGCGGTAGAGAAAGGAACCAGGAGAGGTGATGGAACCAGAGCCAGGAGGTAGGAGGCCAGGTGAACAGTGTCCATGCAGTGGGAGAGTACGGTAGAGGAGAGGTGGTCCAATGGGGCCAGAAGAGAGAGAAAGGGCAGGCAATGGCGCCTCACAGCTAGGGCAGGAGAGGCTTGTTGAGAGGATTAGAGATTGCACCAGGCTAAGAGGGATGGCCAAGAACCCCTAGGAGGGAATGGCTGTTGAGAATCGAGGAACTTTGTACCCCGTGAGTGGACTAAGGCCGTGAGGAATTCATGCAGGAGGAAAAGCAGAGCCCAGATAAGGACATTGAGGAACGCAGGGGAGGTTGGAGGAGAACACAGGCGGATGAGGTGTAGAGGTATTGGCCCATTTAAAATGTTATATATGGCCAAGTGAGTGAAGGGCGTGGTAAGATGACGGAACGTGAGAGGGAAGCCCAAGTAAGCAATCACTGTCTCCAGTTGCTATACCTGAAAGGTAAAGGGCTTAGGGATAAATTGGGGCAGCAGTTGGATTCAGTACCTACGTTGGGGGCGAAAATGCTAGGAACGAGGGGAGCATGAGGTCTGGTCATGAAGGGAGCAGATGTCAAGGAACAGACAGGGAATCTGTCACATCTTGGCAGGTAGTAGGAAAAGGAGGATGGGATATTGAAGATGAAGCAGAGGGTATCTCGAAGGCAACAATGGGAGAAAAGGAAGAGCATGGGCCAAACAAGGTTCACTCAGCATGCAGTGTGGAAAGAGAGAGAAAGTGCAAGTCGGGCAACCATGAGAAGTTGGTCCACATAATGTAAGTTGGGTCAAGTAGTTGAAGGGAAAAGAAGGGGCAGCATGGAAGAGGGGAGAGAACCTTATGAACATGCAAGGGACTCAGGATCTGTAAAGGGGGCACTGTGGAAAGGGGGAAGGCCTGAAGAGCTCCCAGTGTGGAGATGTCATCAGATCTCAGGGGGCAAGAGGAGTGGCATGTGCAGGATTGAGGTCAGATGGCAGGAGCAGAGCATACCATAGCAGAACTGACCCCACAGTCCAGGCATTTGAATACCTGGGGCTCTCAGAACAAGTGGGGAGAGGGGCCACAATGACTGTGGTGAAACAGAGGAAACAGGACAGCGTGGCACATTAAGATGCAGCTTGTACAGAAACCACTGGCAAGTAATCCCAGGGATTTCAGGATGGACTGATGGGGATGGCTGATATGCTTAGAAATGGCAGAGGAGCGAATCAAGGAGGGAGGTGACATTTTGCAGTGATCACCAAATCCATGCTTCTCCTATTCCAGTGGGGCTGGAAAGGGTGGAGGTCTAGCACGTGGGGGAGAGACTCTAGACAGAGAAATAAGGAGGAGGGCGACCTTCAAACCAGTGCAGTGTCATAGGTCTGGTCCAAAAAGATAATGTGGGCAGCAAAGGGGCACAGAGGGAGAGAACAAGGAGTGGGATGGTGGGGGCTTGAGGGATGGGGGACTTTTGTTTGGGAGGCTCGATGCATGGAGAACGGAGAGTGCAAGGCAGAATGAGATGGAGAGCCAGAGGAAAGACTGAGGTAAGGATTGTCAAAATTGGACCTTGAAGCAGCTCAAAGGGAGAGTCATCTCCTAGAGAGACAAAGTAAAGAGCCATGTAAGGGAGAATGGAGAGTGGAGTGTGACGGTGGAAGGGAGACAGGCTACACAGCAAAAGAAGGAGCAAAAATAAGGGGGAGGTGGCAGAGTAGGTATCCGGACAGATCTCAGAGGTGCCAACCAGAAGGAAGTTGAAAGCGTCAGGGCCAGTCAAGAGGAGCAGAGGGATGGGGAAAAGGAGGCGTGGATAAGGGGTGGCTAGCAGTGGGCCGGGAACAGCGGCTGCTCCTGCGGCCTTGAATGTAGTGGCAAGGGTAGAACTTTTCGGCCAGGCTCTTTACTACGGATCCGGTGGGGATAGGGTGGGAGGTGGGG